CAGGAAGAGCCGTTGCCCCGGGGCAGCTCGCGGCGGCTCGTCCCAGCCCTGCGGCTGAGCGATCCTTGTGCGGGGCGGGGAGGCCGAGAGCAGCTCCAGGGATCGCGAATGACAGGATCTCAGCTTGAAAAAAACCCAAAATGCCTAAAAGAAGAAAACACACGTGGGGCGGGGCTTGGCCCTCCAGCCCCAGCGCCTGGGGAACAGAATTTCAAACTCGGAAACATCAACATTTTCTCTCTCCGGTGAACAACCCTGGAAGAGCAGCTCGGCTCTGGAGCTTGGACGCGCTCGCACCAGTAGCAAGGGAGAGCAGCGGGAAGCGCAGCACTCGGCAGTGCAGTTCAGCAACAGCTTTTGATGGTGGTAGCTGTAAGGGGGGGTAATAAAGAGGTCACCTGTAACCGAGGGCAGCGTGTCTAGAATTCTTTCTACTATAAACAAATAAAGAAAGGTCCAAATAAAGCTGAGTTTAAAAACATTTAATGTGAGTCTTTCTACTCGACAAATGTACAAGTCTTGCAAGGTTTAGCAAATGAAACAAATTTAATAGACATTGATTACATCTTCAGGGCTTGATTTCATACAGTATTTACATTTTCCTAGTCACAACACCGAATAGCAAGGCTGAAGGAACTGTCTGTTTTTGGGTTTCGGCGGTGCCATGATCCCCAGCTTTGCAGCAGCTGCTTGTGTAGCACTAACCCTGTAGGAGGCTGAACTGGAGCCGGAGGAAGCTGGAGCCTTCAAGCCAGATGGCCTTTTTGTCCTTCTGTACCTGCCGTAACCACTGCAAAAATTACAGGACATGTGTGTCAAACATCTGCGTCCTGCCCCCTTCCCCACACCCATGGTGTACTTACATATGCATCACCATTAGACTTTCTAGAAGACTATGCTTTCATTTTTAATTTTCTGGGTTTTTAAAAAATACACATGGCTGTGAAAATCCCTTTGAAATGTAAATCAAGTGTAGCAGTTGCTCTAGCCTTTGCCTAAGGGCAAGAAGCAGCCTGAAACAAGGACAGAGAATGCTGAACCAACCTGACTCCTATTAATCCAATTAGAATATCAACATTAAGTGACACATCAGGGTCAACAGCATTTAATGACTAATATTTTAGTAGATGGGAAGGTGAAAAGGGTGGGAATAAAACCCACTGGGCTGGTAAGTGTTATTTGCTACCAAAAAAAAAAAAAAAAAAAAAGACCAGAATGAGGAAAAACAGGCCAGAGGAGGAGACATCCTTGGAGAGAACAGACAATTGCTAAAAGCAATGAGTTTTAACAAGGCAGACTATATTTTCTCTTTGATGTGATATTAAAGCAGCAAAATATAAGTAGTTAATATACCAGTAGCTAATAAAACCTAACAGTCGTTACGTTTTAGGTGTGACTTCAGGTGGGGATTTTACAGAATATTTTCAAGAGCACATTAGAAACATTTAGAGCTACTCTGAATGGCCTGAACTCCCAGCTGACATGTAACACAATTTCTGTGACACTTACAGACTGAATAAGACCCCATTCAAAGAATTATTTCAGAAAGGCAAGGCATAGGTTGTCCACATACTTCGTTTCTGTCTCACATACCAAACAAGGTGAAATTTCTAGGCGGAGCAATTGGCCACACCACAGTACAGGCAACTTATGTTTAATTCCTTTCTGTCCAGGCAAGCTATGAGCACAGCAAACCTTTCAAAGGCACAACTATAAACCCCAAATCAGAAGTTATTGCTCAAGTTTTCTACTGTCACTCCCCTGTTTTTAAAGAGGGTTTGGGGAGGGCAGAATTTCTCCACCCATATCTCCTTTTAGCACTGATTTATCATTATGTTTTGGAGCACAGACCTTCAGCACAAACTGCGACTACTTGAGTTACTAGACTCAGAACTACATGAACCCTGAAAATAAGGTCATTGACTCAAAGGATGAGGCCCAGCCTAGCTCCTTCATCACCCTGTGACAGTTCGGTGGCAAATCTGCCTGAGAAGCTCAAGACTGACCCGACTCTTGGATCCAAACGTTACACTCTTGTGCGGCATTGCCTTGTATGGTACAATCAGAGGGAGAACTTGAATTAACAAGGAACTTGGAACTGAAGTTCAAATATTCCATCAAGTCTTTGAAGTTTAAGCCCTCTTTATGTTTCCAAGCACAGAATCCAGTCAGCCTGGTAATAATGGTTAAGGCAGCACACTGAAATTTAGTGTCACTACTTAGCTTGTGGCAGTCACAAGTGAGAAACAAAGAACAATTGTTAAATATCCTCCCTCACCAGGAGCTTTTTTAAACAAAAAATGCTAGAAAATCAAAGTAGAACAGTTGTTACCAGGTACCTGGATAATTTTAATATCATTCTTAAAAACTTAAGAAAAGGCAGAAGGACAACAGTGAGATTCTGGGACCTTCATCATGCTGTTCTGGACAAAGGAAAGTTACTAACGACCGCAAGCAACGTACCCTTTGGGATGAAACTGCTGGCTACCACCATTACTTGTCTTCTTCCTCTTGGATTCTCTAAAGTTTGGCGGCCTTTTCCTCTTCCTTCTTTGGTTTGCGTTATTGCTAAAATAGCTTGAGGTTTTAACTACATCTTCTGCTTCTTCCTCACTCTCAAGTGTGCCAGTGCTTCTCGGAGCTGTGTCCACACTTTGGCAGGCAGCATCTTCTACAGACAGAGAGGTGAGTTAACACTAACGAGATCGAAACAGGGCTTGGGCCACTCAGAACCGTCCACCAGAACACACTGATGGTACCAAAACTCCCGTCCTTGCTGGTCAGAACCTCCTTTGCACTACCTTCATCCCAGTGATGCTCCAGACTAAAGGCAGGTTGGTGTAAAGCAAGGACAGAAGGCAGTTTTGGTTTATCTCATGACATAAAAGAATACTGGCCAGTCCTATTTTCTCTAGCTTGGCTTCTTGTCTAAACTATTTTAGTGACACTGGCCTTCCTGCCTTTACATTCTCTTCCCCATATCAGCTGGAAAGAATTATGGAATATACCAAAAATACTACAAATACAGCACTTGTTTTTAAAAACAGCATCAGGAGGCACCGAAAGGCCCAGGCAGTGGAGAGCTCCTTCTCAATCAGTCATGATCAAGAGGGATGTGATTCTTTGCACAAGCAGTAGAATAAAATACTTAAAAATGAGGTTTGTGGACATGTACTTGTTCCCATTGCAGTGTAAGAAAGCACGGCCTCCTTAAACACAAACACCAGAATTGCAGGCCCAAAGTCAAATGGGATAGTCAAGCTGTACCCAATATTCCCAACCGTAACACAGGCCATGTGCTGCGTTCATGTGAAGTTACCAGATTTACTGGTCTCAGGGCTCAGTTTTCCGTTGAGCTGAACATTGTGTGTAAGGCTAGAGCTGTGCAAAGGCATTGTAAAATATGACTGTTCTGACCAGAGACCCAGCTTTGAAAGTTCTTCATGTCTGAGCAAGGGCTAGTCAGTGAAGACCTGAACTTACTGACCTCAATTACTATGAAAGAGAACAGGTAGTAGTTCTTGATTATCTGCCAGGCTACAACGTTACCCCAGACATAGTGGATGTGGGTGTAAAACTTAAGGTCAGAATTCTCATTATACTTAAGCATATTACATAAATCCCAATAACTAATAGGTTAGGTGCAGAGCTGTCTGCTTTGTTCTTGTTTTTCTTTTTCAGTCTGTCAGAGATACGCTGAATTTAAGTAGTGAGAAGACAGCAAAGACCTCTGTATGTTCTGAAAGCGTGCAATTGCTCCGTTTTGGTAATGATTAAACTGTAAGCATTAGTTATTTGTATTTAAAACAAGGTAACTTTTGAATGAAACCTGACAAAGGAGGAGAGAAGGTACTAAACAGAAAGTACGTGTTTAGGTGCAAAGGATACTAAACCTGGTATGGTCCATTCAGAGTACTTATCCATCACTTTAATTATTTCTGCACCATATTTTTCCAGTTTGTCTTCTGTGACACCATCAATCTGCAGTAAAACCTCCGCATCAGATGACAAGGTTTCTGTAATGCAACAAAGTACTAGTCAGACACGTCAAAAGAGAGATTATGGTAGAGTATTCTGGAGGACATTAATTCCTTTTCATGCCACCCTATGAGTTAAGTCCTTCAGGAAACAAGCCATGCTTCTAGCAGATTTGCTTCTAGTTGGCGAGCACAAAAACTAGTCTGAAAGTTCTCTCTGATGATACTTCAGTTTGTTTTGCAGCATGACTACTTGGGTGGCTCTTATCAGGCAGGACTGCTACAGCACAAACCACAGCTCCACAGAACCCTGCTGCGTCCACTGCTTCCAGAGCACCCGCTCAGTTACGTAAACTTAAATCTGTTCTCACTAAACGTTCAAAACGGTGGATTTTCTGTCAGCAAAGGCTACAATTGCCCGCGCAGCCTGCTGCCAACAGGGGCTCTGAGTAATGAGAAGCTGACGTTACCTGCTATTTTCTTTAGAGTTGAAGTACTGAAAATATTGAAGTAATGCACGTCAAAGACTTTCCCAAGCGTTTTGCAGGTGTCTGTAAGTTCCCCAAGGCACTTTTTAACCATCTCTTCCCGCTGGGACATTTTTGCCATGGAAGCCCTTTGCTTTCTGATGGCACTGGCACTTTCTGTTTCATGAAACTCCACCTGTTAAAATAAACCAACCAGTAACTCCTGTTGGGGCAGTTACTGCAGAGCCGTCATTAGCAGACTGACTGGTAACACAGGGAAACACTGAAGGAAACCAAAAGCATTCTTTGATGGACCAAAAAAAAGCTATTTACCCAGTATACACTTTTTAAATGATATTTGTTTTCTAACAGGCTACTCAACCACCCTTAAGTTTCTCCTACGGAGAGCTAGCAAGAGTATACACAACACAGGGCAAAAATGCCGAGACCCCAATTCACAGCTGGCTTTAAACAGGGGTCACTAAGTGTGAGCTGAGGGCTCTGCTCTTCGCCAAACACAGCACTAGTGCAGAGGAGATACTGCCTCAAGCAATTCTGGGACTGCTTCCATGACCTTGAAGTGTATTTTCCATCAGAGCTGACCAATGACTGGAAAAAATAGAGCAGAAAATACAGGAAAAGGTAGCACTGTTTGTTCTTTGCTACTTAACTAGCTTTTTCTGTGTTGGTCACAACTTTCCTTTCCTGTCAAGCTGGAATCAGGTGGATGGGAGGGTGGAAAGAAAGATTTCATCCTCTCTGATCTTCTCAAACTCACCTTTTACCTCACAACATTGTTATTAGAATACTGGACCAGAAACCATGCTTGTTGGATTCTGTTCCTGGCATCTGCTAAAGACCAGTTCCTGTACTCCAGCTGGTAGGCAATTATGTTTAAACTGTCCTAGGGTATATGCTACATAAAAACTGTAGCACATTCCTTAAAACAATATGTTCAAGTGAGAAAAAAAAAAAAAATCTTACATACCTGTAGTGATCCATTTAGCACAGCCTGAGCTTTCTCTCCTAGAACTATATACGCTACCGCTTGGTCATTAGCTGTGATATACAAGTCTTCATCCAGAATCTTGTCCAAGACCAGTTTTCTAAAGAGCCTTTCAACATTATGCCTGGAGTAGGCAGCTCCCTTCCCGAATATTCCGGACTGAATCTTTGCACTCGTTGTGCCTGTGCAACAGAAATCACAGGCTCAGCTTGCGATCAGGAGGTACGCAGGTATTTACAGGCTGTGGGAGACTCCTGAGGGCATTCCATAGTCTATGCACAGCAAAAAATGTTTTTATGCACCAGAAACTCAAAGCACCACCAGAAAACTAATATTATCACTATAGCAACCTGAAATGGATTAAAGCTTTACTCTCATTTATTTTGGATCATTTATCACCAAGAGATTCCTGGGAAGAATAACTTTGTAAAAGACACCTTCTTTTAAACCACTGCTGGTGTTGTGCAGACCTTCTGTACCTAGCCAGGACTTCACACACCAAGTCTATTGAGGTGGTGTCTCTGGAGGAGCAGTACTTACCCAAGAAGATGTCCACCATCATGTTCAGCGTGTACCTTCCAGAACGTGTATTTCTCTTTGTGTTTATTCGTCCCATTTGTCCACAGTGCTCTTGTACAAATCTTACAATGCTCTTCACTTCATCTGTTACATTTCTTGATTTGTAATCCTATTAAAAATAGACTTGATGAGGAAACAGCGTTACATGGCTCTGTCGTAATGCAGGTTGTTACTGACAACCTTTTCATTATTGAGCTTTTTCCAGTCATGAATTCATTTTGTTCCAAAGAGAGAAATAGTGATTTTCTAGTTAGTACACCTACAGTGATACAATACAGTCTCAGGAATTATGGATTTGATAATGCTCTGGAAAATGCAATAATACATACCAGTTGATTGTGTTTAATCTCTATTGTGTTAATTCTATAGAGTGAGCTGCAAGATTGCTGCGTGAATACCAGTAATCAAAGTCAATCATCTGGAAAGCATTCCCATAATTATTCTGCTGCCATGCACTAGAATTTACACCTCCAGTATGCATTAAAATGAGAAGCCTGGACTGAATATAAATTATTCTAGCTAAACATTACAATCACAGCTATGTAAGGTAATGCTTCAAACACAGGACTGAGAAGCAATTATCATCACATATAAAGCTGATCTGGTTTATGGAGATCAGTAACTCTCCCCTGTCTGCTCCGAGCTCCTGTTCATGCCACTGACAAGTTTGTTTCAATCCCTGGCGCACAAACCCCAACCTTTGGCCTCCTCAAGTGGTGCGCACCCTCCTGACATGGCACCTGCGCTGCCCTGGCAGTGCAAAGCTGCCTGGAAAACATCAGAATTGGCAGCTGAAGGGATTTCCTCACAGCCATTCCAAGGGATCCTGTATCAGCTCCTGCCTCCTATAAGTGCTGTGGCCAAGAAAATCCACTCCAAGGAACATCCTTACACCTCCTCTGACAGAAACAGGAGCATCGTAAGTCCGTGTGTAATTCCACTCTAGGTTAAACCCTGGAAATAATTCGAAGCATCTAGCATCACAAAAATACAAGACATCTTATTAATTTTCCCCACTTGCCTTCCCAAACATCATGTAACCATTTTTTAACAGCTAAATGTAAAATCAGTTTAAAAACACTATTAATAAGAGCTGTGGCTTTTACCTTCTTTCTACTGCAGTTATCACAGGTTACTTCCGGGTGATCTTTACAGAAGGTGGGATTAAAATTACTTTCCCCAAAGTAGGCCAAAAGCTGAATTCGCCGGCAGTCAACGACATTCTCACAGTAGTGAACCATACTGTACAGGTTGTTAAAGTGGGTCTCTCTCGTGTGACTGTTTCCATCTTTCTCCACTGAAACGCAACAAATTCAATTGTATTTGTTAAATCTGCACTTCTGCATTTTAATATATAATCAGACAAAACACCATAATTTTTTTGCTTAAAAAAAAAGATGAGTAGGTTAGTACAGAACTAACCTAGAGACAGATTTTACCGCTGAAGTTTTAAACAATGGAGAAGGGAAATAAGACTAGAATTACAAGAATCAAGAGATGGATATGTATGAAGCAAAATGACTAAAATTAAGTACAAGTGACAAAATCTTTCATTACAGAAAACCGTTCAGGTGAAGATGCAGAGTCTTCCCACCTCTGCAACACCGCAGTACGTATGTACGGTGCTTCTAAATGAGGAGGTGACACAGTCTAAACAAAACGGAGACCAGGGACTATGCACCTCTGTTAGCATTGTCTCCATTAAGTTATAGACATGAGGACTCACTCAGTATCAACCTTCTCAGTCTGGTGACATCACTGTAGCTGTAGAAGAGCAGGCAGTGGGACATCTCGCCATCTCGTCCAGCTCTGCCAGATTCCTGATAGTAACCTTCTATAGATTTGGGAAGAGAAGCATGGATAACGTAGCGTACATCAGGTTTATCAATTCCCATTCCAAAGGCAACTGTCGCACATATAACCTGGGAAGGAAGTAATCGTTCATTATGTAGAGCTGTGGGAGTCATTCATGCAGCACTCTGCATCGAAAATAGGCCATCAGGGTTACAAAACTGTGCAGAACCTGGAAATTCAACTGTAACACTGCAAGACAAGTACAAAATAGCAAATCCACCCCTCCTTTCAGAAGAGCTATTCCCAACAAAGGGAAAACTCCAAATTTGAGTCTCAATATCTTTGGCAGTGTGCCTTGAGCTGTTTCAGAAGCCTTGTGCTGCTCAGTTCCTTCATACCTGGGTGCAGCACTGCAGCCTTTGATTTGTAAACCCCCAAAGAAAGCGACAGCTAATGTGTTTCGGCAGACCCGTTTGGATCGTTTTTTTAATACTGCATCCAATTTGGAAATAATGTTACACAACTTCGCTTTCATTTCCTAGGCCATGAGGGATAAAAGTGCTCTAAATTCTATTCACTTCTTTTCCCCAGTCGCTCTCTTTTACCTGGCAACCTTCTTGATTAATCCACTTCTTTTGTACAAGATCTCTGTTGGAGTCAGTGAGGCCAGCGTGGTAGGCAAGCGCAGCAAGACCTTGACTCTGCAGAATAGCTGCTGTCGTGTCACACTCATGACGTGAAAGGCAATAAATTATTCCAGAGTCATCTGCAAAAAAAGATTTGTGCTACAATACAGCTTCATTCCCTTTCGCTTGCTTAACAGTCATACCTGTCGAGTTAATACATTTATTCCAATAGGGAGAGGTTGGCAAGCATAATGCAGTAACTTTAATTTTATTAAATTTTAATTTAATATTAATTTATTTTGTTAAGTTTCTCCCTGCCCAATTCCTGTTTTTTTGGCCAGGTGGAATCAAGAAAAGGTTTCCTGCTTGGTACCATGTATCTTAGGATTTAAAATGCATGAATAAAGGACTACACAAATTAAGAGGCAGAACAGTTCAGCCAGTGATAGGGCAGGTCCCAGCATGAGGGAAGCCATGGAGCTGGGTGCAGCCCACTGCCAGCAGCAGGAGCTGCCAGGCTCCAGAAGTGAGCCGGGGAAGAGAGGAGCCCCTGGAGGTACCTCCAAGGGGGACCAGAGATAAGCAGACTAACAGAATTAAACACTGAGAACAGTACGGATATTAGATGGCCTTTATACTCTGAAGACACGATGCTAAAAGGTCTGGCAACCTCCAGAAAGATTACCCAAGAGTTTTACCATCATTTACTTTTCCATCTTAACTTGAACTCTTGACTTTATGATGCCCATAAATCTGATTTCCATTACCAATAACATAATTTTGCCTCCAACTTGTTTTTCTTGTAAATACATTAGTCATTTCCAGAAAGATACAAGTTTGGGGTTTTTACAGCATTATAGAAGCTTTTATCTGCCTTAAGAAGCAGTTCATAAAAAAGCACACAAGCACACTATGTTGCTCAGTACTCACAGGGATGATATTTTTTAATCCATTCCAAGCAATCCATTGCCACCTTCTTTGGCTTCTTGGGCAATACATCATATTTCAAGTTATGCCTGTTGAAGCTCATTGTAAACCTAAAATGGGACAGTTCATAGGTACTCGTCAGCTTTATGGGTGCATTAATCCTGTCAAGAAACTAGGGACTGACTGGAGCGTCCCCCCTTCAGCTAACTGATACTCCTTCTGCATTATCGGCAAAGGAATTATTGTTGCACTATGCTCACGGAGATTCACATCACCCATACTCTGGGTCTAAAATTCCTGCATTTTTCCTGTGGCTGTGAAAAAAAATGAAGCTCCATGGCACTGTGTAGAGGGAAGAAATGCTGACAAACCATAAACCACACACAGAGCTATTTGCCTCGCCTTCATTTCCCTTTTGAACACTAGCACCCACATCTGACCCATCAAATTTGCAAAATACAGTGCCACCTCCCTCCTTCTACTCTAAAATTCATTTCTAAAATGAGAAGTTCAACAAAACAATTTTTTTTTTCCATCGTGTACAACGAACACACTACAATACAATCCAGGCCCAATGATACCTCATTATCTATGTTACTGCCAGTGCTAATTAAAAAACACTTCCAGCCTTTGCAGTTTTCCAGGAGTCTCATGAAAAGCACCCTAAAATCCAACTTGTATGTTTTGTCAGTGACAGAAAATGTCAGAATTTTCTATTACACAGCTTCCTTAATGATGCAAGGAAGAGTCTGGCAAGTGGATTTTTTTCTTACTTTAATATTCTGTTTATAAGTCACATTCAATTCCCCTCACACATTCTCATTTAATCAGCTACAACAACATAAGTATTACAGGTGGACCTGTAATGCTTTTCTTACTTTACTAAGTTTTCCATTCAGAATTTCTGTGTCACAAACAAATTGCTTCAGGAAACTGCTGAGCGACTTACACTTGTGGTTTTAGCATCTCAAGCTGATTCTGAACATCCTTCTGCACTCTGGGGTTGGCAGTGGCAGTCAGAGCCATCATAGGAACAGAGCGAAACTTCCTGCGGAGCATATTCAACCGTTTGTAGTCTTGTCGAAAATCGTGACCCCACTAGTTGAAAAACAAGATTGAAGTATAACTGAGTAAGATGCTCCAACTGATTTTTTTGCTATCTTGGAAAACAAGTCAAGGTTTTCACCTGGCTGACACAGTGGGCCTCATCAATGACAAAACGCGCAAGGAGTTTCCTGTTGTAGAGGTTTTCCAAGGCTGACATCAGTCGGTTGCTTGCACAGACCTAGGCACAGAGCCACCAGTGGCGTGAGAAAGCAAAGTAACAACAGCGTCACATCACCCGCCCAGTGAGGAACACACAAACAGCTGTTCTGGACAGCAAAGGTATTGCGGCTGCACGGCTACAGCCTGAAGGTGTGAAGAAGATGGCAATCAATCAGCTACAGTTTAACTGACAACGGAGCAGCTGGAGCGGGATTACTGCAGGGTCCCAGGATCACCTATCCAGAGGTCCTGCAATCTGAGTAAATTTAAATGACTCCTGTTACGAAAGACAATGCTGAAAGAGAAACGTAGTCAGCACACTGCACTCCCCTCTTACAAAGCTCCTGGGGAATGACAATCTTTAAAGGCAGCACATAATGAAGTGCACAGCAATCCTTCGACCTGTTACCCTGACAGTTATACATTTTCTCTGGGTATTTTCCTGTCCACAGCAGCCTAGATTCTAACAGCAAATTGACAGCAGCTAGCCACTAATATGTAGTGAGATATATTGAAATGGCTGGCACAGTGGGTTTTTTTGTTTTGAGAACTTACATTGTAAGACATATTCAGTTCTCATTCTTGGTTACTTACTGACTGAAATTAGGAAATTAGTTATGTCTGTACAGAGTCTTACTGAATTATCTAAATAATGTTTAGCATTTTTTTTCCCCAGAAGCCTACTCTAAGTTCAGTGTTTCCCCTTTAATACCTTATAGTAATCTTCCTCTTGTTGCCTCCATAATTTTAGAATTCAAATTAAATACAAACCTTCTCAGGGGTAACATACAGAAGCTTTATTACAGGATCTTTTTTTGACAATTGCATATATATTTTTGAAGCATCAGCATCCGTTCTATCACCAGTCAGGTATGTTGCAGCAATCTATATTGAAGAAAAAAAAAAAAAAAAAAAGCTTTAATATGCACAAAACAGAAGAACCTCCAACTACAGTCCTACATCTAGTTATAAATCAGATCAAAGTATGTGCATTTACTATCCTCAGTGAACATTTTCAATGCTTGTGTAATTACAGATAGCATTTGAACCCCCACCGCACTGTAGACATCACAGAATTTTTCTAACAATAAAACCAAGAGACTATAAGCCAAATTCAATTCTTTGCTCCCAATTCTACCAGCAAACTGATGGCTGACCTAGGGGATTTCTCCACTTTCTTTGAACTCTCTGTCCAGTAAAGAAAACAGATGTGATGTTTGTTTATTGCTCAATACACTGTAAGTTTGAATTGCATGTGTGAATGTGCAAGAAGCACAAAAACATGATAACACCCTCAGTGACAGGGCCCACAGAACAACATTGCATTGGAATAGACTGGATACAACCTGGAGCAGCAATTTAGTATTAAGTTTAAAAGTATAACTTACTATTCATGCTGACTAGTAACAAAGGAATGAGACCCTGAGGACAAAACCGGTGTAAGAACAGGTCGCACCAACAGAGCCATTTCTGCCTGCTTGTCTCCTCTTCCTCTGGCCTGCAGCTCTGCAGGAGATGCCCTCTGCAGCCACGAGTCCCCAGGAGCCCCAGAGCCCATTTAATCGGCTTTTACAGCGGTGCAGCCCGCCACACCAGCCAGGGTGGAGACCAGCACAGTAGTCACTGAAGGGCCAACAAATCTTCAAGGGCCCTGCCTAGTCAGACTGTCAACTGTACTTGACAAGAGAAGGATTTGTCCGAGCTTCAGAACCCTGCATCATAGTCCCCTCGGTCTCACACCTCAAACCATCTCTGGGTTTTTGCCCTAAAACGTCTTATCCACTTTTTCTCCACTGATCTCTCAATATTAGTAATACACTGCGGATGAAAGTCACTTCACTGAGGCAAAAGCAGCTCCTAAGGGGTCAGCTGTAGGAGCACACATCTTCTGCCTTCACTTTCTTACTTCTCTAGAAGTGCTTTGCATCTCCAGAACTCGCTCAGCTCAGGAACCGTAGGTGCTTATTTCTGCTACAGAGCCAGGCTGCTCCTCTTTAGGTGCCTAAATGCAACTCTCAGGTTCTAAGAATCAGGCATCTGTACTTGACAGCTAAGCTCCAATAACAAATCCACACAAGCATCATCAATAAATTTAGCAGTTACACTGCCAAGATATTCTATTTCATCTAATTTAATCCATCCTACACAGCTTTGTTTGCCTTTTACCATTCCAATCTAATCAATGTTTGCAGTTTATATTTGAGAGACATAAGATTTGCTGTAAATTTTCAGATTTCTAATTTCACTTATATTTAGTTTAACTAAATAAAGCTGCTTGAACTTACATCTAGAGTCTTCAGCTTCTGAACTTGATCTATTATCAGCGACCTCAATGGAGAGATCACGATAGTGACTCCGGCAGAGACACACGCTGGTAACTGGTAGCACAAGCTTTTACCACCCCCTGCAAGGATTAAGCAGAACACAACAAACGTTGGGTATCGAGAGAAAAGGGAGATGGTGTGGAGGAGTGGAAGATGGGGGGCCTATCTCTTACTTCCCATTTTACAGCACTTTCAGAAATGAACTTTTACCAATGACTGCCTCTAATGCTACATATGAAGGATAAGGAACAACTATCATGGGAAATATTACGGAAAGCAGAAATTCAATCGCCTCACTCAAGGCACCGCAGTTCATACAGTATGTCAGAAATCTTGCAGCCACAGAATTCAAGCAGCACAATTTATGGCCACCTCCGCAAAAGCACAGAGAAAGAGGGAAGTTCATCACGGGCCTTGCAAAAAGAGCTTCAGGTCTTTATTTAATAGAGCCTGCCAGCACTCAAAAGCCTGCAGCCATGTGGCATTTGAAGATACCTACCTGTGGGCATTAGGATGAAACAATCTTCACCCAGAAGAGCAGCATTGATGGCCTCCAGCTGATTTGTCCGAAAATAGTGCAAACCAAACTTTTTGTGAAATATATTCATCATTTCTTCAGAATGAGAGAATTTCATACCCCTAAAATGTTCCAGTGCAGGGTTATTAACTGGCAGATCTAGTAGACAAGGAAAACATAGTTAGAGTAATATATATATATTACTCTATATATATAACAATATATAATGATATATAACAATATCAGGTTGTGCTGCCCCTCCTGCGACATAAAACCGCTTCATTAGAACGGAAGGCTTAGCCACCACTTCAACCCTTTAAACCTTTTAAACTCAAATCACAACTTATGGGGGGGGAGGGGGCGAAAAATGACATTCATCTAGAATGTAAGACCAGCTAAAGCGTGAATTTTGACCATATGCAAATCTCTGGAAACCAGTTTCTAAGCCCTGACTGTAGAAACTGCCCAGTCTAGCACTGAAAGCTCACACAGCTACGAAGAGGCTCCCCACAGCAGGTGCTGGCTGAATCAGCGACAGAGCCAATGAAACAGGTTAACATTTCCACCTCGCCCTTTACCAACCGGCTCTTACAGTAACCACAAATAATAGTGACCCACCCCATGCCCCAGAGGAGTTTGGTTTGCTTCAACAAGTGTTTGTTTTTGAACATTGTGCATAAACAGCTAAAACCGTTGTACAGCTTTGAATTAACAACTGCAGAATCATTATTTAATTAAACACACAGAAACGCTCTAGTTTCTAATTTTAGCAGCTTCATCTTCCCAGCAGCCTGCAACCTGCACGGCAAGTAAGTATTCAAGAAGTTTGGCATCGCTTGGAGGAAGATGACTTTGCAGAGAGAAACCAAAAGAAATTTCCACAGAAACAAGAGGCTTTGATGCAACCTACAGTAAGGTACTTGGCCTTAGGTTTAAAAAATAAGTAAATAAGAATTTAAACAGGGAAGGACAGTAATGCTAATAAGCATAATTCACCTGAATGGTTCTTTGTTGCCGTCGAGAATGTTGATTTTGGAGCAGTAGGGTTTGATGCCAGGGCAGATCCTTTGGCTCTGGACATGATCTTTGACAGCAGCGACTGGGCAGGGGGCCCCTCCCGGATGGGCTGGTACAACAGCGTGGAGGGCGTCTCAGGTGCTGAAACATTCTCCAAATTCTCCCAGCCCTCATCAAAATCAAAGGGATCGAGGTCAAAGTCTGTATCGTTGAGACCCAGACTGCCTTCTGCAGGGGGGCCCAAGGGACCTTGTCTCTGAGCTTTCAGAGCTGTGCTCGTGAGGGGCCTCTCCATCCGCTGACCATCCCCACCGTTTCTCAGCCCCGGTTTTCCCCACCAGCTGCTGTCAGAGGACGTTGAATGGAGGCTGGAGGAAGCTCCCTCTTGGCCATTTACCTTGGGAGAATTCAGCACTGTGGGTTCTGGGCAGGTGATCTCCTCAAGACTTTGCTTTGAAACGTAAGAGGTACCCAAGGTTTGATTGGTTTTGATAGAAAAACTGCTTGAATTAACAGTCCCAGAAAGCAGAGACGGGAGGTTTGTGGATTTTGGCGAGTTTCTGCCAGAACTGAAGCTCCAGTTGGGGCCAGAACACGGAGTATCACCGGGACAAGCAAGAGGGCCCCGCTCCACACATGCCTTCCAGTTTCTAGGAAAAGTGTTGTTTGGGCTACTTTTGTTCCAGGAAATAGAATTTCCTAGTAATTTTCTCCTGGGAGAGATGGCAAGGGAAGAAAGAAGGAAAAAATAAATATTTAGTCATAAGCAAAGATTTATCAAGTTCTACAACATACACAAAACTGTTTTGTCTCTCTCCTATTAAAAATATTAACATATGATGGCCACAGCATATTCTGTGTCACTACATTTTCAAGATATTTCAAACAAATCTAGAGAAGAGAGAGTAATACCAGAACTCGGTTGAATAAAATAATTATAAAACTACTACATTTTCTCTGCAGACATAAAAGAAAAGAATTTCCAACAGCAAGGAACTGATCCAGGCAAGGTAGAGAATTTAAAAAAAAAAAAATCCTTAGAGGCACAAACCTGAAGTTAAAAAAGTAAAAATATGCTTGAACCAAATTATGGTTTTATGTATTTTCTAAAGACTATGTCTGACTAGAGCAATAAGTGGAAATAGAATAATTAGTTTCACTGAGAATGCTCAGAAAAAGCACATAGTCCCAGTGAAAAAACAAAACAAAATCCCAAAACTCAGGACCTTGACTAGGTATTGCGGCATCCGCAGACGTTAAAGCAGCATTTGAAGTAGCAATAATCACACTGAAAGGTGACAAGTATGTGGGTACTGGGAGAAGTCATAATCACTGTGGCCAATGACAGCTATTTAATAGAGATTTAACATTCTCTCGGAGAAAGAGTGTTAAATTAATGCCTCTGGTTAGGAGGAAAGGGGGTGTATAACAGCTGGTTATATACATCACCCAGCTCCTCGGGAAGGAGCTTGTGCTGTCACCTACCAGAGGAGAGACACAGGACTCACCCTGCCTCAGGCTGAACGGGGAACTGGACCCTTTCTTCTGGCAGAACACTGGAGTTGTTAATACTTTCAGCAGTTTGGGGTATTTTTTGCCTTCATTCAGTCAGTAATTTTAAGCTGTTTAAGCAACCCTTCAGCATCGTCTTTTCCGCGGGATGGAGCCGCTCAGTAGGGAGAGGCAGAAGGGGAAGGCTGCTCGGGGGAGCTACCTGAGATCTCTCTGCTGGAGGAGCTCCCTTGCGCACGACAGGGACTGAAGCTCATGGAGGGGGATGGCGTCCACCAGCTGACAGATACCGTCCATGATGCTGTAGAGCTGCTGCGCCAAACACCCGCCTTCATCTGTTAGATTAAGTGATTTTAGCAGGCACCAATACTGATTGTTATTAGAATATGTAACAAGATGATACCACTCTCCCAAAACCCAGTAAATTGTAACAAATAAGTAAATAATTTACTTTCAATATATTTTTTTAAAGTCCATTTGCATAAAGAAACCATTTCTGCATGCATGAACTTACCCAGGCTACGTATTTTTGCCCTTGCCTTTTAATTAGTCATCTATATAAATTTTCCAAACCTCATCACAGTTCTTTCAAACTTATTTCCAAAAAACATTCAAGTCTAGATGTTTTTCTTATCTCATTACCCCTCCCCAACCACATTAAAACACATTTTATCAAAATATTACATTGCAATTCTAGACTAGGAAACACCATAGGACCTTCATGACCTTCCCTTTCAAATTTGGCACCACTGCAAACCACCTAGATTTTGTCAATGAACTACTGCTACCAGGGGTGTGACCCCTTGGCCTAAACCCTGGCCTAACACTGACTCACTGGGTGGTCAGGAGGATGCACCAAGCCAGGGTTTGCTATCGGCACCCTGAGGATGACAAGATGGAGCTTGATTAAATTGATTTCCAGAACAGCATTGTTAAAACATAAATAACAACACTGCTCTGGGAATTTACAAACAGAAAATCATAAATAACACTGTGGAACAGTATCATAAGCTGTATTTTTATATATTTTGACAGGAAAGTCTGAACCTGCAGCCTTAAAAGCAGGCTGTGCCACACCTCCACTTAGTAACTTTTCATTCTGCAAATGAAACTGAGAAACATTTTAGCTCAGTATCTCTCAAAGCCGGCATCTGTGGGAAGCAGACAGAAGCACTGACACAGCTCCAGCTTATAGTGGTGTGCCTTTGGACTAGAGCTGATTCGGAAACAATTGGGTCGATCTGGGCTGCTAAGTTCTGAAAAGAAGGTCTGTGCAGTGTCCCAGGCTGGTGCTGACAAACCCGGACTCAGGATCAGACAACAGCCCCAAGCCTACACAATGTACACACACCCTGCTCCCTTGCCCCCATCTGTCAGTTAAAGCTCTCGCTTACATGGGATACACAGGAGAACAATTAGTTGCAAGCCATCCCCAAAATCAGAGGCATCAAATTTCAAAACATTTCGCATACCTGCAGCCTCCGCACCAGGATCACTTCCAGCAAGAGGCTGAGTTGTGGCAACCTGGGACTCAATGCTGCTACCTGTGGATCTTCCACCAGTAGGAGATTCTTTGAAAATACTACTAACATTAAAAGAAAAATACAGGTATCTGTAAATCAAGGAATTTCCATAAGAGAAATTTATCTTTTAGAATAACAGCATTTAAGATGTGTGTAAAAGATAAACAAGTTTCTGAAAACCCAGTTAAAATCCAAGTAGCTGAGCAGTTTGTCAGTCATCCCATGTGCCAGAGACTTGCTTCAATATTAATTTTTCCCCTCCCACTATGAAAGGAAAAATAACTCTGCTTTTTCTGAAGCAAAAGCCACCTTAAACATTGGCCATAAAAAAAAAGTATTTCATAAAACATTAACAGCAGCTGTCAACTGCCAACCTGCCAAGCACAGTCGACTCAACCCATAACTTTTTAACAAGCACTAGTCTCATGTCTTTTTTGGTACTTTTTAAAATCAAGACAGTTTTATCCGTGAACTTTGTTTCACCTAATACTTTTTACAGAAGGCAAGAAGGAAGGCAGCTCTTCTTCAGGGGAGGGTGGAATGATATCTAAGTAATCATCCTCTTCAAGCTCAGGGCCTGCAACCAGCTCAGTGTTGGCCTCTGCCAGCTCAGGGGGGCTATGTTTCTCAGCACTGCTTGGCCTCTGGCTCTCACCACTTCCATCATTAGCTGAAAGAGAAGAGTATTGATATTGTCAGGTAACACTGTAAACTCATCCTGGTATAAGGAAAAATGCAGCTGAACAGAGGGGAAAAATTAATAGCTGGATTTCAAAATACTCATTTAATACAGTTTCTGACTTTTAAAGGACAAAAAAAGTTACTGCTCCCTTTTTCCTCCCCATTAATAACAAACAGACAAAAACCCCACAAACTGTCTTTCAAGTGGAAAAGTTATATAGCTTGCCTGCAGTTACCTTGCCCTGTCAGAAGATAAAAACTTAAGAGATATATTTCCCTACAAGAGATTTTACAGAAAACTCTTGTTATATTAACTAATAGCTTAAAAAGAGCATAGACTCATCAACTAGCACAGTCCCTATACTGGAATTAGAAGGTTAATTTACATGTACAGTGCCTTATAAGACAAATCCTACTAAGAAAGGCCAGTATCAGTATCATTAATATATTAAAACTAATTTCACAGAAAGAGGGGAAAGGTAGCAATGTATTCTATAGAAGAAAAATATAGTTCACAAATCCTTTTTCTATTTAGTATAATGGCAGCATCACAGAACACTGTTCAATGTTATTCCATTGCATAAACATTAATTTCACAAATAAAGATCAAAATTTTCAAAATATAATAGGTAAGGCATATCAAATAGAGAAGTGTGTGGAAGCACTCTGACTGACAGTCATGAACCTTTTGGTCATAATCAAAGGTTGGCAGATTTTTGTGGGTGGTTTTGTTTTTGCTTTTTTAAATTAAAAGAGATCTCTTTTTATGGTTTAATATTTCTCTTCACTATATTTAGTTCGTACGAATTTTAAAAGTACTTTCCTTTCTGTAACATGCCTACATTGTTCTTCGTTTCTGGACTGCCGTATGGGCACTCTTACAACTCCACGTGACCAGCTGCTACTCCTGCCACAGAAACAACGACCCACTACTTACAACCCGGCACTTTCACACGCTGTGGCCACACAAACAAAATCACATACCCACAACCCCTCCTCAGACACGAGCACGCAGCTCCCGCTTGCTTTCTCAAAGATCAAGCCCTCTGTGTGCAAACACGAACGTATTTTTTCCCAGCTCACCGGTACTTTAAAATAAACTGTTACCTGGGTGAGCCTCTTGCCCTTCATCATCCGAAATCACGTCAGCAGATAGATTCTCCCAAAGGTCCTCACCCACAGCCTTGTTACCACTGCAGGGAGCTGAATCCTCAAGACAGATGAGAGATTGCTGCGACAAGGGCCGTTGTTCAGCCTCTAGAGAGGACTCCACGTGTCTGCGAGGCCCCACGTCGTCGCCCACAGTCCCGGGAGAGACCAGCGGCTCATCCCGGCAAGGGTTTGACCTCTGGGAGGCCTTGCAGGAGGCCCGCTGCCCTTTGGGGGACAGGACCGGTGGTCTGCAATACTTCTTTTCGATTCTTGACAAATCGAAGTCGTCAATGTCATCCCACTCATCTTCTACGGTAATGACGGGGCCGGCCGCAGGACCGGGAGCACGGTGCAGCCCTTCGCTCCTGCTCGTCTTTCCAGTGGCCACAGGGTCTTTTGACGCCTCCCCAGACCCGGCAAGCGCTGGGCTCGCACAGGCCGTCTCGAGGCCCTGTCCGTGAGGGCCGGCTGCTGCTGCTGGTGGTAAGAAATCCTGGATTTGGGTTTTCTTGTCCTTGGAGGCAGGGAGGGCCGAGGCGCGATCAGGCAGGGAGGCGTTAACGTCTTTGTCCCTCAGTGCTGAGGCGGCGGCGAAGCCCCGCGGCTCCCTGGACCTGTCTCTTATAC